CTCACTCCACAAACGTGCTGGCCTTCTGGGTGGGTGTTGGCATGGCAGGTGGGGGTGGTAATAATGTCACCCTGGCACAGCCTGGGTTTGGAGTGCTCGAGGGTCCCTGTAGGCTATCCAGTAGGCAGCCAGTACAGAGCGTGCGTGGGTCAGATGGGCTCAGCTGGGGGCTGGGTGAGTCGCCGCTCCCAGGTGTTTTTCACAGTTGTGCCCAGGTGGAGCCCATCAGGATGACCCAGCGGAGACGGCGTGAATGAGGGACTGGCCATCTAGGGCCGTCTCTGAGTGCCTCTCACAGCAAGGAAGCGTCCTCCCCCCAACCGGGTGCCACTGGAAACCCGTGGTACCAAGCAGGTTCGCCTCTCTCCCTGCCCCCCCGTAGAGCTGTGCCCGGCACAGGGTGAGCGGGGGCAGTGCCGTGCTCTGCTGTGCACTGCCCGGTGATGGGAGACAGCTCGTCAGCTCTCACCAGTCCCCAGTGAGATTTCCTTCCAGTGCCCATGGGGGAAAGCTCCTGGGTGTGTCATCTTTGAGCTGGTGGCCCCTTAGCAGCAGGCCCAGGAAGGGTCAATGCGGACGCCCCCCGTGCCATAGCCCTGGGCAGATGCAGGATCCTGTGGTTAGCCTGGCTCTGTGGCTGCTGGCTGGGAAGGGAGGGCAGCTGGATGGCAGCAGGCTGGTGGGTGACCCCGCTGGCATTTCCACGTGCCCAGGGGGAGACCAATTTAGACCTGGAAGCCAGCCCAAGGTGGGATTTTGGGCAGGTCAAGCTCCAAGCCCACGGCCCGGATACATGTTATTCTGTTTGTGTTCCCAGCCCCACTGAGCCCCGATCTCTGCTCTGCCGCCTGGTCCAGCCCCATGGGGAGACGTCGTTCTCCAGGGTCTCAAAAGGAGTATGACTGACTTTCCTTCCTTCCCACAGCCAGCGCCGTCACCCCAGTGAGTCTGGCAGAGATGGACCCTGCAGAGATCCCCATCCAGACAGAGCTGGTGGAGCTGGTGCCCAATGGGAAATATGCTGTGAATGCCTCGGCCATCCCCTTGGTGGGGAATACCAGGTAACCCCAGCACGTGGGCAGAGGGCAGGGGCTTGCCTGGCTGGAGCCAGCTGAGAGACAGGGTCATTCTGTCTTCCTGTGCCTGGCAGGGGATGGGTTAGGAACCCTTGCCAGATCTAGGCACAGTGAAGGCAGGTGCCATGCAAGTGTTCCCTTCGCAGCTCTGCCAGTGCTCCTCACTCCCGACCTGCAGCCCCCTGCTAGCCCAGCCATGGGCTCAGGGCCGGCTTTAGGCCGATTCCCCCAATTCCCCCGAATTGGGCCCCGTGCCTAAGAGGGCCTGCGCCCTAGAGAAGAGTGCCTAACTTAGGTGCCTTTTTAATTTTTTTACTCACCCAGCAGTGGTCTGGGTCTTCGGCGACACTTCGGCGGCGGGTCCTTCACTCGCTCCAGGTCTTTGGCGACATTTCGACGGCGGATCCTTCAGTGCCGCGGAAGACCTGGAGCGAGTGAAGGACCCACGCCGAAGTGCCGCCGAAGACCCGGACCACTGCCGGGTATTCAAATCGGGTCCCGCACTTCCTAAAGCCGGCCCTGCCTGAGCTCTCCCCAGCCCCTAACTCTGCCGGAGCCCCTCACTCCTGACCCCCAGCCCCCAGCTAGCCTAACCCTGGGCTCCCCCCAACACACCCCATGCCTCCCACTCCTGCCCCATGACCCCCCTCCCCACAGCTCTGCAACAGGCAGCCAAGAAAACAAAGTGAGGTGGGGGCTGATCCCTGTCTAGGGTCTCGGTGGAGCAGCCCCTTGGATCCCGTACAAGAACGCCCCATTGCTGGGTGTTCAGAGAAGAGCCAGAAGGACTGAGAGGCCGGCAAGGCGGATTGATGGGGAGGCCGGCTGAGCGGCAGCGTGGGGGGATGCAAGCAGGCACCGGGTGGGGGGGCCTAAGCTGCGTGGGCAGGTCCTGCTCCAAGCAGCATGGTGCAGCCTGATCTCAAAGGGCCAACTCCAGCCTGAGCCTGGGGAAGAATTTGCTTCTAAGGAGGAGAATGACGGGACCACACACCCCAGTGCAGCCAGGAGCAGTGGGAGTCTATTAAGACTGGACACAGGAGAGCTGGGATCTGCTGCCTTGCGGGGAAATGCTGAGGAAGTCCCAGCCCCTCTCTGCCTCAGTTTCCCCAGGGGATCCTGGTGCTCACCCTGCTGGGAGGGGATTGTGTTTGTAGGGCACTTTGAGCCCCTTGGAGTATTGGTGCTGGAGGAGGGTGAGGGATCGGTGCCAGTCACTCAGGGACCCTCTTCTATACCTTCCCCCCCATGCCGCGGTGCCATCAGAGATAAGGCTCCCCAGGGGCAGGCTGGAGCCTTCTGGCCAGCAGAGCGCTCTGGAGTGGGAGCTGTGGGACGTGGAGGAGATGGAGTGGCATGGCCCTGTTCTGCTTTGGGAGGTGGCATGGGCAGCCCAGGTGGCGCCAGGGAAAGGTAGCACCCCACTACGGTGCATGGTTTATAGCTCTTCTCTCTCCCCCCCGCACCTTACTCCAGGTTTGAAGAGCCCCAGCCCACTGTGGCGGAGATGGAGGAGTTCCTGCCCCAGGGCCCTGACAAGAAGCAGACCCACTTCACAGATGTGAGTCCAGGCAGGAGAGTGGCTGGTGGGGTGACTGCAGGCCAGGCACCTCCTCGTGCTGCTTGCCAAGAGCCTGGCCCTCAGGCAGGGCACAGACCCACTGCCCTTCACTGCAGAGCAGGGGCAGGGCAGGGGAGTGGAAGTCGGGAAATCCAGATCCAGCCCCCTGCTACCATGGGCTGCCCCCTGAGCTCATTCCCTGGGGCACAGAGAGAGCTGGAGAGATCTCCCAGGTTCTTTGGTTTCACCATAAACCTCCAGTTTAGCATGTGTGACCCATTTGCCCTCTAGTGGCTGGTCCACCTAGAGGATAAAAGCCTACTACTGCTGCTCACAGCTTGTTCAATTTTTCCCTTAGCTCAAGTGATCAGAGCTCTTGCATTTAGTGCTGGTGACCCCTGGGGGTGGGTGAGTGGGCTTGTTACATGGACTCAATGGCTGCCCTTTTGGCCTGCTCCCCAGGAATTGAGCCAGGTGCCAGGCTGCCCTGCAGGGGCCCAAGAGCAGGACACCAACCCTAACTGGCTGTGAGTTCTACACTTAGATTTCACCAAGTATGAATTCCTCTAGCGCTAGAACAGGCTAATCCTGGAGTCACCAACCATCCCTTTGGGCGCTCCGATCTATTCTGCCACCCAGGCGAGTCTGCCTTTGTCACAGAGGGTCCCTCACGCCAAGGATCACAGCAATAGTCAGGTTACTATAGTCCCAGTCCCAAGGGACCCGTCACTTACTCCAGCTCAATTGCACCTTAAACCATAGGCACCGACTGGAGCACCCACAGAAAAAAAATGGTGGGTGCTGAGCAGCCTCCCTAGCAGTGCCTCCTGCCAGCACCTCCCGCCCACCGGTGGGCCCTGCCGATCAGCGCTTCCCCCTGCAGCACCTTCCACCCGCCACAATCAGCTGTTCCGTGGTGTATGGGAGACACTGGGATGGATGGGGGAGAGGGGAGGAGCGAGGGTGGAGCATGCTCAGGGCAGGGGACGGGGAGAGCAGGGAAGCGGCGGGAAGAGGCAGGGTGGGGGTGAGGCTTGGGGAGCAGGGGTGGAGTGTGGGCAGGGCCTAGGGTGGAGCAAGGGGGCGCACCCCCCAGCACATTAGAAAGTCGGCGCCTGTGCCTTAGATCTCACCCATAGACAGCGCTTGTAGCCAGTCCTGTAATAAACTGTCTAGCGCAGTGATATTCCGAGTGAGGCTCGGGAGCCACAAGTGGCTCTTAAATGTGTTTCTTGCGGCTGTTCACAACGCATAATGTTAAAGCCCCATATGATTTCATTATTAACCAATCCAAGTTAGTAACCAATCAGGATGCTTGTACTGTTTTATTAACCGACTGTGTAATACTTGGCCAATCATTGTGCTGTGAGAATAGTGTGTGTATATATATAGTCAATGAAACAAGGAATTCACATGACTGGGGCCCTTTTGGAGCATGTTGCTCGCTAATTTGGCTCCTGACCAGCTGAGCTCGGAGTATCACGGCTCTACAGATGTATTGACTAGGAAAAGGAAAGAGGAGAGCTCTTTGAGAGGTTAAAGCAGCTAAACACAGACACACCCAAATTAATTCCAGTCTTATGTTTCAAAAAGTAATAGAGGCTTCTCTGATAAGCAGGCTCTATCTGTCCTTTGTGGCTAACCCAGGCTAAGCACTGGGAATCTCTTGCTTATGCCCAGTAATCCTTACCCCTCAGAGTCCAAGCAGCATAAAAGATCCTGTTCCTCCTTGTCAGGGCTTTTTATTCCTCCCCCCATTCTGCTTCGAGATGCAAATTCAGCTGCTGGGAGGAATTCAGGAGTCTGGCTCCTTTTGGGGTAGGGGGCAGCAAGCAACAGAAATCTTTTGTCCTCTGATGTTCCACAAGAATTCGGCTGGTGTCACTGGGCTTCCTTGGTTGGGCCGGAGCTGACACCTCCTGTTCACACTCCATTCACACCAGTTAGTGCTTCTCTCCTGTCTGGTGGTTGCCAGTTTCAGAGCGAACACTTCACTGTTACGTCCTAGCATGGGACAAAGGTTTTATAAACCAGATAATGCCGGCAGCGACTCACAGCATTCCAGCACGTCCAACCACTAAGCTCATTTGTATAACGCTAATACCGAGGTTAATAAGGCTAACACCCAGGGAGTCAGGCTGGCTCCAGCTGTGTGCTTGTCATGGGTCAGTCGACACCTAGGGCCTTGGCATGAGCTGGCCCCTGATGTGCCAGCGTCACAGCGGGGCCTTCTAGATATAAGAGCAGGAGCAACTACAGCTGGCGTTGAAGAGCCAGGCTGTGGAAGTGGGGCTGTCACAGAGGTGCCCAGAGGGGTGCGGCAGCTTAGGGCAAGGAGGCAGGATATTGAGGAAGAGGGATTACAAGGGAAATAACAGCCCCTAGGAAGGAGGAATGTACCCTGGGCAGTGACAGAGGTGCTGGTACCAGTAGTAGACCAGAGGGTTAGCTGGGGTGCTCCGAAGGCATCGCTCTGTGTAAGTAGCAGGTACTGGGGGGCAGGGGACATGGGGATATTTCCAGCTAGGGACATGGGGGGCCGGGCTTTGCCCAGCCACGGCGCATGACCCTCTGTGTCCCGTCTGTGCAGTTCGAAGGGAAGACCTCCTTTGGCATGTCCGTGTTCAACCTCAGCAATGCCATCATGGGCAGCGGCATCCTGGGGCTGGCCTACGCCATGGCCAACACCGGCATCCTCCTCTTCCTGTGAGTGAAGCTTTCCACACGCCTCGTGCCGGGGGGTCGGGCGCGGCTGGGGGTGGGGGGCTGGCCCACACTCAGGGACTGAATCTGCTCTTTGGCCTGTGTGGGTCCAAACTCCTAGCCAGGTATGGCAGCAATGTGAGAGCCTGGGCAGGTGGGTGAGTGGATACTAACGCAATGATGAGAATGGGGGTGTATGGGGATGGATGGATGGATGGATGGATAGAGGCCAGTGTGTGGGGAAAGATGGATGGATGGATGGATAGAAGGGTGTGTATGGGGATGGATGGATGGATGGATGGATGGAGGCCAGTGTGTGGGGAAAGATGGATGGATGGATGGATAGAAGGGTGTGTATGGGGAAAGATGGATGGATGGATGGATAGAAGGGTGTGTA